CTGGTTACTAGGGAAATCCGTATGAAATCGTGCACATAGTTGTCTTTGATGTTGGGGCCAGTGATCTTTCTTACCAAGACAGGTACCCTGTCCAGAGATGTCGGGGAGGGTTATTTTATTGTGGACGGTCCAACTGTAGGCACTCATGTCAGGGGAAGTAATGAAGGTTGCATTGAGTGCCTTTCCTTCGTAATATGCAGGAGGGGCAGCCAAGCACAACCAGCAAGACTGGGTCAAATTAGGCTGTGTTAGATTTAAAGCATGATAAGCTCCTAAAATTAAGTCAAAGAGATTAGAACCTGAAGGATGAGTGGGCCCTTGGATGGGGGTGCATGGGGGAGGTTTAAGGTGGGAGTCTGAATTGGTGGGGGATTGGCTTGGGGACCGTGAGCCCTTGGAGGGTTGGGGACTTTAGGGGGGGTGCCTGACTTTGGTTTAAGGGCTTTATTTGGGCCCACTTTCACAGTAGGTAAGGGTAATGGCTCCTTTTTTATGTAAATAAGGCCTCCCCTGTCTGTGCTCTGTTCATAATATCGAAAACCCCAGGTTCGTCCCTGTAGCCAGGCCGGGTCATTGGGTGTGGTGACATTGATTTCTAGATATTGACAGGTTACAATTTCCCCATACCAGTAATCAAGTGGTGTGCACCCCCGTGGCCACCATCCTAAGTGGAGGTCTCTGCACAAATAGAGGGGTCCAGCCTGTCGCTGCGGTTTCACAGCCCCAATAGGCACAATAATAGTGTCCCGGGTAATTGCAGTATGTTCTACCCCCGGGGGAAGCAGGGCAAAGGTATACGGGTATTAAGTTGAGACATGGATCTATAGGAACAAGGTCACAGGAATAGGCTTTAAAGTTTGGGTTTCCTGATCTCGTCCAGGTGGTGACAACCTTACGGTCTTCCCAACGTCCAAGAATCCACTTCCAGGGCTGATGTGGGTCACTGTGCTCTTTTGTCAGGTGCAGTTGCATTAGGAGGCTGACAGTGATCCACACGGAAGCCAGCATTGTCTGTGAGAGCACAAAGGGTTTGGGCCTCAGGAGATGGCATCACTCCTGGGCGTCATCTGGATTTTTAGATGAAGGACTGTCTATTTGCTTTACAAGTCGTTCAGGTAGCCATCGGGCTCCCTTTTCCTGTTTGGAGTAAACACAGACCGAGCCTCGACCCCAGATGAGAACAGGGTCAGGGCCATTCCAGGTATTGGTTATTGGATCTCGCCACAACACAGAGGCGAACTGTGTCGTGTCTGTGTATGCCAGAAGCGAGATGCTGCAGAGCAGCCTGAGGCATCCAGGGATAGAAAATTCAAAATAAAGAGAGCATGTGAAAGAATATTTTTAGGAGACCCTCCGGTTGGGTACCAGGTTCCCCCTTTTATTTTATCTATGGTAGATTTGAGGGAGCGATGTGCACATTCAACAATACCTTGTCCTTGAGGATTGTAAGGTATACCCGTGGTGTGGAGAATATTAAGGCACTTACAAAATTTGGTGAAGGAGGTACTAGTATAGCCTGGGCCATTGTCAGTTTTAAGTTGTTGGGGACATCCCAGAACCAAGAGAGCTGATAGCATATGGGCTATAATATGTCTAGTAGCCTCTCCAGTCTGGAGCGTGGCAAAGATGAAACCGCTGTATGTATCAACAATTACATGTATATATTTTAGGTTGCCAAATTCATTAAAATGAGTGACATCCATCTGCCATAAGGCATTGGGGATCAAACCTCTTAGATTGACTCTCAGATGTTGAACAGGCAAATGAACAGCACAAGAGGGGCAATATTTTACAATTTGCCTGACTTGTTCCCGAGTAATTTTGTGGAGGAGGCGGAAGGTCTGGGCATTGAGATGGTGTAGCTGATGAGCCTGTTGGGCCGCAGATATCTTGGAGTCATCTATAGGCCCAGAATGGGCCATGAATACCTGTGTCCGTGTGGCAATATCAGCCAAATGATTTCCCTGAGCAAGGGGACCTGGGAGGCCAGAATGAGCTCACAAGTGGCCAATGAAAAACTTATGACTGCGAAGCCGAATCATGTTCTGCAATTGTTTGAATAGGCTTGCAGCTGAGGAGGCATGGTTTATAGTGGCAACGGTTTCTAATAACGGGACAGACTGGGCGAGGTAGGCACTATCGGTGAACAAATTCAAGGGTTGATTGGGGTAACCGGTGAAAACAGCCAAGATGGCCTGTAATTCAGCCAGCTGTGCAGAAGAGGTGTCTGTCTGGAAGGTGAAAACATTGTCTTGAGCCACATAGGCAGCCTTGCCTGAGGAGGAGCCATCAGTAAAAAACACTGGGGCACCAGAAAGGGGCTGTGAAGCTGTAATTTTGGGGAATACAAATGGGTGACGGTTAGCAGAATCGATTAACTTATTTGGAGGGTAACTGTTGTCAATGATCCCTGAGAAGGAGGCTATAGCAATAGGCCATGCCTCAGTGGTCTGGAGTAGCCAGTCCACTTGATCTTTGGTGAAGGGTTGAATGATGGCGTCTGGTTCCTTTCCAAAATAACATTTTCCTAGCCTTCTGCCTTGAATTATCAGGTCAGAGACTGCTTGGTAGTAAGGCAATAATACTCTCTTTGGGGAGACTGGCAGATGAAGCCACATAAGAGGAGCTTATTGCCAAAATACTGCCATGGAAGGAAGTTTTGTATTAAAAATGAGATATTGCAGTGGCTTATTATAATCTATGAAGGATACAGTCTGTTGAGCGATAGCCTCTTCTACTGTATGGAGTATTTTTCTAGCATTGGGTGTGAGCTCTCGGGGAGAAGTTGAGTCAATGTCTCCTCGGAGGACCTCATAAAGGGGTTGTAGATCATGTTTGGTCAATTTCAAATAGGGTAAAAGTCAATTAATATCATCTAGAAGCTTTTGAAAATCATTAAGTGTTTTAAGGCCATCAAGCCTTAGTTGAGGCTTTGGAGAAAACACCTGAGTGCCTTGTAACTGAAAACCCAAATATGTATATGGGTCAGTAAGCTGGACCTAGTCAGGGGCTATTTGAAGCCCAGCCTTTTGTAAGGCAGCTTTTAGTGCCTGGTAACACTGTAAAGTCTGGTCTTGACTCTCTCCACTGGGTGAAGGGAGGCCTGGCTGTAGGGGTCCCATCAAGACCATGGTCTTATTTATTGCCCTAAGGTCTTGTAGCAGCCTCCATTTCCCCGACTTCTTTTGAATAACAAAGATAGGTGTGTTCCAAGGGGAATCACTAGGGACAATGTGGCCTGCATCTAACTGGTCCTGCACCAGCTGTTGTGCGGCTGCAAGCTTTTCAGAGGTAAGGGGCCATTGATCCACCCAAACAGGTTTGTCTGACAACCAGGTAATCTCTTTGGCATGGGCCGCAGGAGTGTCAATGACCCCTATTGAAAATGGCCTAGGCCTGTTTTAGGGGGGCTTGGGGCTGGGGAGATAGGAACTTTAATGCCTGAGCCCTGTTTACCTAAACCTTGATTAGGAAGGAATCCCTGAGTGAGCATTTGTTTGGTGACTATAGTATTAGAGCTGCCCATCATCATTCCCATTTGAGTTAGCAAATCTCTGCCCCACAAGTTAAGGGGTAGCCCTTCCACAATATAGGGCTGTATGTGTCCTTGATTGTTTTCTGTATCTTTCCAGGTAAGTAGACTGGCACTACGTTGTGGATTTTTAGATTGTCCAATCCCTTGCAAATGCGTCATAGTGGTTTTTAAGGGCCATGTGGGAGGCCAGTCCTCCTTTCTAATGACTGTTACATCAGCACCTGTATCTATGAGCCCTGAGAAACTTTTCCCATTGAGCAATAAAGCCATAAGGGGTTTATCTTTGGAAATGAATTGAGCCCAATATATATCTGAGGATCCAAAGGAAGAATTTCCCCTGTAGGAAGCCACAGCTGCGTTAGGAGTTTGGATTAAAGGCAATAGCACCAATTGAGCAACACGTTGTCCTTGGCCAATGGAAATTAGGCCAGAGATAGAGGATGCCATGACAACAATTTCACCAGTATAGTCGTTATCTATGACTCCTGGGACAATTTGTAACCCTTTTAAGATTGTGCTGCCACGTCCAAGAACTAACCCACAGGCGTCCTTGGGAAGGGGGCCAAAGACTGCGGGAGGCAGATAATGCAACCTCCCCCTGAGCAAGCCTCTCTGCAAACTGGGGATCTGTGTGACGTTATGTCAGCAGCTCAGAGATTAAAGTCCAATATGAAAAGGCGGTTACCGGAATCTTTTTTTGGGCCAAAATCCCCATAATAGTCTTTAAGAGCATCTCCTACTCTTTAAAAGCCTACGGTTTTTCTTTTGTGACTTTACTGGTGTTTACATAATAACAACAAAACATACTGGATATCCATCATGCATTTAGGCAATCAGAACGTTAAGCATTACCTTAATAAGAAGCCAGGTATGTAAACCTGTAATAAAAACAGCATTATAAACTGTAAGAACTCTGAAAGCGAGCCAAATCTGGAAGGTATCCCATTAGATAAATGGTGTAGAGAATTTTTTTTTTCTTTTAAATGGCTCCGGGAGCATGTGACCACTGTAACAACTAAGGCTTAGAGAGGATGACCACCCCACCAGTTCGCTCCAGGTGAACTGAAGAGTTAAATGGTCGCATTCCAGATAATCAGAACTTAAACCATCAACCAAGACTGCTGGAGACCTCTATGAATCTGACATCATCGAGCAGCTCTACGAGGACGTTTTTCTTTTCTCGGTGCTGGGGACTGAGCCCAGGGCCTTGTACTCAGCGGCAGCTCCAGCCACCTTGACTTTAGCACAGGGCTTGCCTACTCGCTGTACCGCCAGACCGCGCCGGAATTTGCGAGCCTCTGGCCTCAACTGCAGGGCGCATGCCCCAGGCCACTCGTACTCACCAATTACCGCTAGGAAGCGCCACTTCCGGGCCTCACCGCCAGGCTCTGGGAAAGCCGCGGCCAACGGCGCGAACTCTCGCGAGAACTGCGCACCTCGCGGCGGCGCGGGAGCGGCTCTGAGATCCGGCACAGGGTCCCGGCATGGCGTGGGCCGGGAGGCCGGCGGGCAGGGCCGAGAGCCAGCGGGAGCAGGACCTGCGCGCGCTCATCCGGCGCGTCACCGGCCTGCGGGACGAGGCGGACCCCAACTTCCAGCTGGCCCTGAACTTCGCCTGGTCCAACGTGAGGTGCGCGGGCCGGGGGCGGGGACGTCCCGGAGCGCGGCTGCCCGACCGCACCGCGCGCGCCCTCGCCGGGCCCTGCGAGCCCCCACGGCCTGCGCGGTCCCGCCCGAGACGCTCGCCCGCAGGCCCGCCTTCCCGCGCCCGGCCGCTGGGCCGAGCGACCCCGCGCGGGTGCTGCGCGGCGCGGTCGCTGACGGCGGCTCCGGCGCGCAGCCCTCTTCCTGCACGAAAGGTGGAAATTAGTGTCGGGCGATTCCTACCCTTAGCGCTTACTAAGAGAGGGCTTAGGGTTGGTCCACCTGTTTAATTTCAGATTCCGTGTGTGTGTGTGTGCTGGGTATCGAACTCACCAGGCAGGCGCTGGTGCTGCGGCGCTAGATCCACGTCCCCTGCATCTGTTTAATTTCAATAAACATCAGTTTTTGTGTGCTGGACCTTGAATCCAGGGTCTTCTGCATGCTAAACTCCAGCTTTACCGCAGTAGGTTACGCCCCTAGCTCAATAAGAAGCTTGAAGAGGGAGCTGCTTTGCAGACTCATTAATTGCCTTAATAATCTCAGACTAAATTAATCTACTCGGCTTACAATGAGAAATGAGAGCTTTCGAAGTCAGTAACAGCATACCAAGTTTCTGAAATCCTTAATTGTAATATATTAAAATACGACTTTATAAAAATTAAAAATGACTTTTTAAAAAGCAGATACAACACAGAAGCTTAATTGCTGTTTCTAAAGTAATTTTTCTATTTCTAAATGAGAAAAAAATTTCTGAGTGACAACCAGTTAACCATTGTAGAGTTGCAAGAGGCAGGAGAAGTGTCTAATTACTTTTTAAAGGTTGAGAGAATGACTGGGCCTGGTAGCGCTCACCAGTCATCCTAGTGAGGACCACAGAGTGAGCTCAAGGCCAGCCTAAACTGCACGGTGAAACTCTGTCTCAGAAAGACAATAAAGATTGAGAGACTCAAGAGAGCTGCACCGGGATGAGCTTGATGTTTTGTATTGCTAATTGAACCCAGGGACACTACCACTGATCTGTTTTTGAGATAGGATCTAAGTGCCCAGGCTGGCTCAGACTTGGGACTCTCCTGCCTCCTGCACCCCTGGGCTGGACCTGCTAAGTGTAGTTCTAAGTAGGAGTGATTTTGCTTCATTTAAGCTGGTTTTGCTACGAAACAATGAAAAGCAAGAGTTAAGTAAGCAGTGCTATAATTTTGTGATCCTTTAATCATCAGAAAAGGGAACTGTTTATATATTTTTTTAAGATTGTGACCATTTTCAAGGTCCTAGAAATTCAGAGGTGGGGTAAAGTCTAGCCTCTATGCTTAAGAAACACGGAGACAAAATGTTAATTGTATGATGATGTACAGAGATTCATATCCTGAAGGTCTGAAGATAGAATTGTGTTATTTGTGAGTTTGGATAAGAAATCAGATAAGATCTAACTCAAAAGTAGCATTTCCCTCAATTCTAAGTGATACTTTTATGGTAGCTAATGAGCCCACTACTGGATCTTGTTATTTAGTGCTTTAATTTTTTTTTAAAAAAATCAGTTTCCAAAAAAATGTTGGATAAGTGTTTTGTTTTTGCTTGGTTTTCTTTGTATTTTACTTCCGCATGTATGAATATTACCCACCAAAGGAGGTCCTTAAGCTTCACCGGGTTCGTTGTTGCTGGCATTAAAAAGCTGGGAGCACGAGGCATCGAACTGCCATGCTGGGCTTAGACGCAAGGCCTTATGGGAAGACAAAGGAGCCAGCGCACAGGGTTGAGAGCTGGCCCTGCATCCTGAGAAAGGGATGCTGCAGCAGTCTCTGAGACACCGCAGTTCGAGGCCTGATGAAGTGATAATGGGGAGGGGGTGCCCTCTGGAAGTGAATAACAAAGTAGATAGTTATGGGGGTATTGGAGAGTGATGAGACAAGTCTGCTTAGCCTGGTGATAGAACTGAATTTTGTCTTTATTAGATTTCATCGTTTCTTGGATGTCAACAGCCACAAAATAGAAAAGACAATAGAAGGGTAAGTCAGTTCGGTACGTATGTGCATAATCAGAAACCAGTGCATTTTCTTAAACATGTTTTTATTAGCATAGTTTTATTTCTGTCAGCTGATTTTTTTTTGTATTTTAGAATTTATGAAAAATTCATCATTCATTCTGATCTCAGCAAAGCTGCCAGTTGGAAGAGGTTAACTGAGGAATTTCTAAATGCATCACTGCCCAGCGTAGAGAAGATAAAGGTACGCCTTCAGTTTTGCGATCTTTTTGTGTATTTCATGATTTCCAATCTGATCATTGTCAGCTTGCCTCTGTTAATATTTAAATGTTCACCCTGTCTTAGCGTTGTCCACTGGCTCGTGCAGAATCTCCTAGATACTCACCTACATATGCCCATAAAGTGGGAGTGGTTTGTTATGAAGCAGCATATTCTTGCCTAAAAAAATACGCCATAGGCAATAGCGGCTCATGTGGGAGTCTGCCTAGATCTCTAATCCCCCAAACAAGTGCACAGCGAAGGCCCAATGGAATGAGACAAGCACATGGCACGATCTTTAGGGCTCCAGGAGGACTAAAGTCCTCCGCAGTGTTCGTAGCTCTGCTAGGTGACGCGTATTTATTCAAAACCAGCAAGGAGCTGAGTGGAAAATGCAGGAAGCCTGAGCAAGCTCTTGGGCGGGGATCACAGACCCCTCTGAGGAACAGACGATGCTAATTTAGGAAAACCATCCAGAAAGTCTCCAGGGCCTCACTGTGACCTGTCTCCCCCCCCCCCCCCAGGGTGTCTCCTCACTCAGTTCAGCCAGGCCACAGTCCTGCACGTGTACCCAGCTTCAGGGACTCCAACAGGCTTAGCATTTCAGTTATTAGGAATTTGTCAGAGAAACTGTCGTACTGTCATAATTATGATGCATCATAAGTCTATGAAAGTGGTGCAGTGAAATATGGTGTATCTGTGTTAAACTATTGAGCATGTTAGGCTTCATGATGCCCACCACCCCAGAATAATCCATTTCTTAGTAATGATACCATACTCTTAAAAATACAACAGTTGTTTTGGAAGTAAAAATTGTCATCCAGTTGGGGCTGGGGATTTAGCTCAGCAGCATAAGCGCCTGCCTTGCAAGCACATGGTCGTGAGTTCGATCCCTAGTACCAATTTTTAAAAAAAATTGTCATCCAGTTAGCTATCTTGTTAGAAATACAGAGCTCAAACCTCAGGTTGACTTTGAGGTTGCTTATGGATAAACGCTATGAAAAAGTTCTAGAGGTTAGGATTCGTGCAGGCATAATTCATGTTGTCTTAGGCCCGGAAACAAAAGGCGGACCTACCTGTCATGAGATTATCTTTTCGCTACTGCTCTAGTTTAGAGTCCTTACAACCTCAGTGATTCGTATTCTTCATTTCTTCTTCTGTAGACAGATGCGCACTATTCCATTCTGTCACTCCTTCTGTGTCTTTCTGATTCTCCTTCAAACAGCAGTTACGTGGAAACACCGAGAGATAAAGAAGTGGGTACGTTAACAGTCTAACATGTGAGAAATTGTTTTATTACTTAATTACAGACATTGGGATTTTATTAAAAGTAAAAATCTGTGAAACTTAAGTATTTCTGTTGCATTGGATGTTGTTGCGAAGTTTCTTTTTTTGTTGTTGGGGTTTTTTGGTCTTTTTGAGACAAGATCTTGCTATACAGTTCAGGCCGGCCTTGGCCTTACTTTGTAGCCTGGGGTGGTCTAGAACTCGTAGCAATCCTTATGCCTTAGCCTCCTGAGCGCTGGGATTACAGGTGTGCACCACCACACCTGGCTGCAAAATTTCATTTAAAATATATGAATTCTCACTTCGCAAGTTAATGTGTTCCTGCCAGCCTAAACTACCCATGGTACAAGCATCCCTGTCCTGTACTGCCCAATGGGACAGGCTTGTACCACCAGTGGTTCAGAGCTACCCAAGCAGCGAGACATGAATTATGGCCCTGTCATGGACATATTAAACAGCCTTCATTATGTGCAGAGAAGTCACTTTTGTGAGTTAAAGTGAAAGATTATACAATATCACTTTATCAAGGTGTCTCAATAGTTTTGAAATTTTGTTTCCTTGAGTGTATTTTGAGTTTTGCATAGACCTTTTTCCCCAGATATTTATGATAAAGCTAATGAGGTTCTTCTGTTACATTTTAGAAAAAGAAGATGATTTTGACTGGGGAAAATACTTGATGGAAGGTGAAGAAATTGACCTTGGTCCAGACACAGACACACCCGTAGGTTGGAGTGGTTTTGTTGTTGAAAATGTAAATGCATGCCCAGATGCTGTATGTTATTTTAAGGGGTCCTTCTACCTGCAGTGTTCTACTAAAACGGGAATACTCTTCCTAGGCTAAAATAGTTCATCATGGGAGACTTACTACGACTGCACCAGACTGTAAATACTGGGAAGTTGAAGGGGGTCAACACAAGTAGCCCTTAAACAGCAGTGGTCCTGGGAAGTTAGAACCCAGAATCATTCCCTCCTGGAATACGTACATTCAAGAGATTAAGGAAAACTTCCCTTCAGTCTTTGCTTTTGTGTGTGTGCATGTTATCTCCAGTTTTTGGATTTCTTCTTAAAGTGTCTTCATGTTTAACCCGAAACAGCTCTGATGATTGTATTCTCAAGGGCAAACTGTGTTTCCTTTGTAAATCAGAACTGGTCTGAAGACAGTGAAGAGGAAGATGTGCAGCAGCCCCTGAGCAGGGAGGACTCTGGGATCCAGGTGGACAGGACTCCCCTGGAAGAGCAGGACGCGAGCAGAAAGCTGGCGCTGCACGTCAGCTGGAAAGGTCTGCGGGACTGGCGGGGTGCCTAAGGCGGGCAGTGCTGACCGAGCCCTTGGCGAACCTTGTTCAGAGCGTGCTAAGCAGCAGCTCTAGGAGGCCTGGGCTTGACCCTTAGCACCACCGAAAAGGCAGAAGCAGCTCTGTAGAGTTGGAAGGAAAGCGCAGTTGACAGTGCGGTTTGGTTTGCTTTCTTGAATAGTCCTGATATATCTTTAATCCTAAGTGTTTCCATTAACTTTTTAATTAAAGAAACACTGAGTTTTTGAAGTCAGTAAAGGAAAAAGATTTATATAATTTATGTGTTAACATGTCTGCTTATTCGGTTTTTAGTGAGCAATTGTGAATTTAGTGAGCAACTATTTCTTTTTTTTTTTTTTTTTTTTTTTTTATCGGTACCGGGGATCGAACTCACGACCGCCTGCTTGCAAGGCAGGTGCTTATGCCACTGAGCTAAATCCCCAGCCCCGTGAGCAACTATTTCTAAAGTACAGAAAAACAGTTGGGTGTGGTGGCACACACCTGTCATGCCAGCACTCGGGAGGCCAAGGCAGGAGGGTGGCTGTGAGTTTGAGGCCAGCCTCAGCTCCATAGCAGGTTCAAAGCAAGGCTGACTCACGTAATGAAACCCTGTCTGTAAATAAATACCTGAAAGAAAGAGTTCGAAGCGCAAAGATGAGATGATCGTGCAAACCTACGTTTCGTTTTGGAGATAGACACACAGGATGACTTTCCTATGGCTGTACCACCTTAAGGCCGACACCAGCAGCCAGGCCATTCCCTGCTCTCAAAAACTTCACAAGTCTACATAAAGTACTGGCTTCAGAGACAACATGGTGAAACGTGCTGTCATCCCCGCAGTCTGAGAGTCTGAGGCAGGAGGATCACAGGCTTGAGATCAGCCTGGCCTACACCGTGAGTTCAAGGCCAACCTGGACTACATGGTGAGATCCTGCCTCAAAGAAAAATAGCAAGCTAACTTGAGGTCCTGACGGTTTTTTCCTTTTGAATTGCTGATTAGACCTTCAGGGCAGAGTGTGACACTGGTCCATCACTCAGGTCACAGCGCATCGTCAGCAGCAGCCACACGGGCCTTTGGCTTTTGTTTCTTTCTCCTGTTATTTCTGACTCTAACTTTCCCTTTCTCTGCCAGCCCAGTTACAGATACCTGTTCTAGTGTATTGTCTATGCTCTATGTGCGTTTTATGTTTCAGTTGTGTAACTGGTATTGTGTTGTGTGTAAATATGATTCTGATATTGTTTCCTTTAAGCTTTTAAAAAATCCGCCTGTGTTACTGTGTGAACAATTCTCCCTTTGTTCCTAATTTCTGCATAGCATTGTATAGTTTGCAGCTGCCGTGTTTCCATTACCTGCAAGTGAGTCGGTTTCATTATAGGGCGCACGTTGTAACTCATAATGACATTTTTTATTTAATAAGAGAGCCAGGGTCAGGGATTTAGCTCAGTGGCTCAGGAGCTTGCTTAGTAAGCGTGAGATTGTGAGTTCGATCCCTGGTACAAAAAAAAAAGATTCTCATCCAAGAGAGGCCAGACAAATTTGATTTCTTTTTCACACGTCTGAAGTCTTTCCCACCTAATTTGTTTTAGTCATTGTTACAGCTCAGTTTGGCTTCTTACATTTTCTAAGCATTGAATGTGTTGGTCATTTCATTCTTGTTTTGGGGAGGTTTTTTTGTGACAGGGCCTCACTATGCAGTTTAGGCTGACTTTCAACCCCACTGTAGCGCCCAGGCTGGCCTCAAACTCACTGCAGTCCTCCTGCCTCAGCCTCCTGATTGCTGAGATGACAGACGTGCACCACCACACCTGGCAGGTTATCTTAATTCTTGATGTAGGATGATCTACTGAAAATATTGCAGATGGAAAGTTTTTCTGAGTTATTCAAGACCAGAAGGTGGATCATCATGTTTTCATTCAGTACAGTGACAGAACCTGGCGCGTTACAGGGTGTGATACAGATTTTCCTTTTGTGTGTGTATGGAATGTCTGCAGGTTAAATTATTTCCCATCCATGACTGGTAGAAGTTTTCCCAGGGAGTTCCTTTATTACCAACCCTTATTCACATTAACGGTTTAAAAGTTTAGGTTATATTGTTGTGAATTGGGAGCTAAGTGAGCTTCTGATCTCCCCTGCTGCTGCCAGGGCACTAGGGCCCAGTGCCCGTCCCTGCCCTGGCAGCTACAAGTTGGCAGCGGGTGCAGGAGGGTTTTGGAACTCTGTGTCCCACGTGGTTTAATGTGAAGACAGTGCCTGCACACTGGACTGTGCAAGGCGTGTGATTCTAAGCTGTATTTGGTGGTGTTTCCTTTTATTACGTGCACTGAGGTCCCTCGTGGCCGTCGCGCCCCCTGTGATGTACAAAGGGAAAGGGAAGGGTTCTCCCCACCTTGTGAGCCCGTTTTCCCAGCCACATCTCAGATACATCCACTCTTCCACATTCCTCTGCGATGCGCCTTTCCCGCAGGTCCGCGTCCCGTAAACACACGGCTGCCTCCCGGCTTCCTGTGGTTCCCTGGGTGCCAGTCTGCTCAGGAGCAGGCTTTCTCTTGCTGGGCCTTTCTTTTTTCTTAATGCATGCCGAGCACATTTTCACTCACACGCTTTGCTCTTTTTCAAAACAGGCTTGATGTGTGAACCTGCATCTTTTTCCATGGACATTTTGAAAACAGGATGGTAAATTCCTTTAATTTAGCTGGAAGTGATTGGGATTTCCGTGAACTTACAGATTTAATTTTGATAAGACTTAACATCCTTATTTTAATAAAACCTACACTTACTGTATTTCTCTGTTTTACTAGATTTTGGAATGTTTCTTTTTTTTTTTTGGAATGTTTCTTTTTAAAGACCTTCGTGGTCAGGCACAGTGGTCCATATTCCCAGCTGTCTTGGAGGCTGAGATGGGAGGATCACAAGTGGGCCCCCAGGTCAGGCAGTGTGGTAACAAGACCCTGTTTCCAAAACCCTAAAAACAGGAGCCCTCGAGTATAAATCGGTTAATTTTCACACGCCGTAGAGTCTGGACTGTCAGGAATGGCTAGGTAAGCAGCAGCAGTGCAAGGGCGCCTGGACCCCTCCACTGACTGGTGGTTATCTGTAGTGAGTTTTGAGTAGGTAGCCTTTATCCAGTTCGGGCAGTTGTTTTCCCTAGAACTGTTTAATTGTAAACCAATGGTAAACTTAATCAAATGCTGTTCTTTTTCTATGAAGTAATCTTGTACTTTTTGTTTCACCCTGTTTACATTAATAAATTCTCTTATAATCAACCATCTTTGAATTCCTGAGCTGAACTTTGATCATTCTTTTAGAACATTATTAGACTGAGTTAGCTTTTGCTTTTATTAGTGCATATTTACTGTACATGGTGGTTACCTTTATGTTGGGGAGTTGGTACAAGTACCTAACACATTTTAGTTCTTTTTATCCCTCTCATTGACTGGTAGAAGTTACTGGCTACTTTTTTTGTTTGTTTGTTTGTTTTAAACAAAGTCTTGCTATGTAGTTTGTGCTGGCCTTGAACTCACAGTGTAACCCAGGCTGGCCTCAAACTAATGGCCATCCTCCTGCCTCAGCCTCCTGAGTACTGGGAATACAGGTGTGCAACACCACAGCCAGCTCCAACGACTACTTTTCAATGTAGGATTTTTCATCTTTATTTTTGATGAATTATTACATCTTTATCTGATTTGATCATCACAGATATAGTAGCCTCGTAAAAGTTAGTTTTTTCTTTTTTAGAACAACCTGTATAAAATACAGGCTAACCCTTGGAACGGGTTTGCGTGGCAGTTGGTTAGGGAAGTCTTTGGTTACTATTTTGGTTTCTTTAATGGTTATTGAACTGTTCAAATATACCATCTATATTATTTATTCAAAAGTTCATTTTAAAATTGAGGGATATAGCTCAGTGGCATAAGTACCTGCCTGGCAAGCACAAGGTCCTGGGTTTGATTCCTGGCACCTCCCTCCATTGAGCAATTTTTTACTCAACTGAGTTGTTGCTAGCCAGTGGCATTTAGTTAAATTTTGTATGTGTGTCTTTATATGTATCTTTAAGGAAGTGGCTCTGTGCCTTAAAGTTACTCTGAGTGTGTTAAGTGAAACTCCTAAATAAGTACGTTAAATAGCTGTCAAAGAGCCATTTCAGATGTGTATTTGAACAACGGTAGAGGTCCAGATCCTGTTACCTTTCTAGCCCTCATTAACTCATGTTTACTACGTTTTCCTCCCAGTAGAAGAGCCCAGTAGCCGCAGCTGGCTGGAGCAGCACGTGGTCCGTCTGTACTGGACGTCCAGGTCCTCGCGGAGTCCACATAGTTTGCATTTGCACTCTAACCTGGCTGCTGTCTGGTGAGAAGCTCAGCTTTTCGTGTAGCGTAATAATGGAAGGAACTTTGATGTTGAAATACTTGGCTTTGATTTGTGATTTAAATCATGTACTTCCTTGAGACCGTGCTGTTAAGGGAAATAAATCAGACAGACATGTGAATAGTGCATCGTTTCTCTGGTGTGAAAAATCAAAAGTGTAAATAAGGAGCAAAGGTATATTAGGTATTGTGAAACAGGAAGAAAATGTTCAAAAGAAGAGGAAGAAGAGGGGTGGGGAGGAGAAAGGAAAGAAGGAAAAAGTAAAAAAAAGTGAGAAGAGAAGAAAAAAATGGAAACAGAGCTTTTCTAAATGAGATGTTGAATGGGAGGGTAGGACAGAAGGAAAGTTAAAGAATCAAGTTATATCATGTACAGGTACAGATTCTCGAATGTGATCATAGTGTGTATATAAAAGGTACCCATAAACTGGGATTGAAGAAACAAGTCTTACTCAGCCGTGGGGGACAAATCAAGTACGTCCTGAAATTTAAACTTGTGTGGTGTACTATTTTTAAACAATTACAAATGAGCAATTTTTAATTATTAAAATCATGGAATTATTATTTATAGTTTTGATATTTTATTTTCAATGTGAATGAATTGGTTTATATTAGACCCTTATTTAATTTCTGTTGCAGTGAAGTTATTACAATAGTTTTCCAAAAAATTTCTTCATAGTTGTAAATGTTTACTTAAATCAGCAGTACGTTACAGTTGGAATTGCTTGGGAAATACACTTGGCTGAGAAAGTTTCAGTGAATGTGTAAGAAAGGAACTGGAGGTCCTGTGGGAAGCAGTATCGCTGCGGCAGTTAGTGCCGCTCTGCGGATTGTCCGTTAGGTTAGCACAGCCCAGCTGATGGGCTCTGGAGATGAGTGGTTCTGCTGGGGAAGCTTTGCTGCTGACCCGGGATGTTTGCTGTCTCCTAGGGACCAGCACCTGTACAGCAGCGACCCGCTGTATGTTCCAGAAGACAGAGTGGTTGTCACTGAGACCCAGGTCATTCGGGAGACTCTGTGGTAAGATCTGCTCGTCTTACTAGTGGTCTGCAGGCCTCATTAGTGAGCAGCAAAGCTACCTTTGTACGTGTGAAGGAGTTTTCCACCAGCAAAGAGAAGTAGTCATTAGCGATGAGGCGCAGACCAGATTTGACTGGAGGTTGGGGGACTTTGTATGTTTACTCCTTTTGCATCATAAGTCATTTAGTTTATGATCTTACTGGATTACAACGTCACTTTTAATATCTGAGTTCACAGCAGAGTTTGGTGCTGGTGTTTTGAGACAGAGCTCATCGGTGAGAATTGGCCCGCCAGTGCCCAAGGAGGCCCAGAGTGGAGCCTGCGTGTGCTCTTGCTGTGGGTGTACATGCACGTTCTCACAGCCTGGGCCAGTCCCTGCCCCTCGCTCAGTGTGGGGTTGACACTTATTGGGACCTCTCTCTAAGATGACACTGAAATACCTCAGATCTGAAGGGTGTGGGACAAAAAGATTGCTGTCTTCCATTTTCTCCTCATCCAAGCTGTTCATTCTCTATTTTCAATCTTTAATAAAAATGTCTTAGGCATAACAAGGTAAATACTTTCCTAGATTTAATGTGCACTCATCTCCTGTTTCATTTCAGGTTACTTTCAGGGGTAAAAAAGCTCTTTGTATTTCAGCTGATAGATGGGAAGGTGACTGTGAGAAACAATATTATCGTAACTCATTTGACACATGTAAGTTTTGTGCATTATTGAAATTTTTAAAATAATAGAGTTTGTATAATGTGGCAATACAATTTTAGAACGTATTACAATATTATTAATTATAAATACATGTAAGATCCAAAAAGCATGTGGTGGCTCACACCTGTAATCCCAGCACTCGGGAGGCTGAGGCAGGAGGATCGTTGCAATTTTGAGACCAGCCTGGGCTGCAAAGTGAGCTCAAGGCCAGCCTGAAATGCATAGCGAGACCCTGTCTCAAAAAGACAAAAAAAAATCCAAAAAGCAAAATTAAGTAGTGCATCTTTACAGTACTTAGACAGTTCTTCAATATTGTTTATGACATGTTTAACTTTACTTCACATTCTCTGCTTTTTTGTCTTTTACCTTGATTTGGGAAAGCTATGAACTGTAAATATTTTTGCCTATAGTTTATGAGTACTTAAAAACTAGAAGCCATAATTCTGTATTACATAGAAATTAATGTTTACTCTTCCTTTCAGTATAAGATTGTTTGCTGTATTATTTTGCCTTCTATTAAGCAGAGTCTAATGTGAATATTTGTAGAAAACTACCTGTAGATAATCACAGTGCGCTTCTCGCTCACAGAGCTGCTTACGGTCTGTGCTGGAACAAATAGCAGCCTACGGCCAGGTCGTGTTCCGGCTCCAGGAGTTTATCGACGAGGTCACGGGCCACAGCTCTGAAAGCCCGTTACCCAGCAGCGGCTCCCCGCCCAAGAAGTCAGCGGAGGCTCCCTTCAGAACCTACCAGGCTTTCATGTGGGCCCTGTACAAGTATTTCATTAGCTTTAAGGAAGAGCTGGCCGAGATCGAGAAGTGCATCATCAGTAACGGTATGTGAGTGCTCGTTGGGGCGGAAGACACAGCTCCTACTTTGATACAAGATTTAAAACTTATGTAACAAATAAAGTAGTTCTTGTGAATATGTTCACTTTTTTAAACAATTATTTTAAATTTACATTTGTAAGATAGTCAAGTCTTAAAAAGCTGGTGGTGTGTGCCTGTAATGCCAGCGCTCGGGAGGCTGAGGCAGAAGGACTGGTGTGAGCTCGGGGCCAGCCTGGACCATATAGCAAGAATCCCCCTCCCCTGCAGAAAAAATGCCAGGAAGCCAATGAGATGCATGGTGAACATTCCTCTCCTGCCTGAGCTCCCTGACCACTCAGTCCACGGCCCAGGGCGCAGCTCCGTGGCTTCTGGTGCCACGGAGAAGTTAGGTGGACGCACGGAGGCAGCGCGTGGACAGACACACGTGCTTGCTGGTGACTGCACTCCTCTCTTCTGATCGTCTTACAGGCTTCCACCATGACAGTTTAGGGAAAGTTTAGAGTGCTGTGTTGGCTGTGGGGAGCGGCCACTCCTCCCTATGTTGTTCCCGTCCTTTTGCTGAGCGCTGTTCACACGTTCCAGTGATCGCGTGCAGGCAGCCTGTTGCTGTGGGGTGATTCTTTCAGATGGGGTTTCTGGGTCACGGAGTACGTGACGACTCACGTGATCCTGTCACATTGCTCTGCAGCGAGGATACGGTGGTCAAGCACTGTTATTCCTACCTCCCTTTGACTCCAGTCCTGCAGAATGGGACAGGAGGTCCTGTGTTTCCGTCACCCTGCTTCCCACAGTGGTGACACTGGGCAGAGTACAGTACGGGACCAAAACCGGGAAACCGAGGTGGCCCCCCGTCAGCCGGACCGCAGTTCCCACCGGGGCTTCCCCGGCTTTCCTTGCTTTGGATCTGGCAGGAGGATCCAGGATCTCTGTGAGCTGTGCCATTGCACCTGGCTGTGGACTCAGCTCACCACCCCCACATCCAGGATGAGAAGCTGCCCCCCTCAGGGACGTGCTGGAGCCACCCCGTGCGGTCCCAGCCCCCTGCCTGCTTTTACTCCGCAGCCTTGTATTCTCGGGAGGCTGAGAGTCTGTGAGAACCATTTGTCCGTTGCAGAGCGGTGGCAGTTCCCCCTCTTCCTTTGCTGCTGAGCTGAACTTTTCCCCTCTTCTCGGGGAGATGAACTCTTGGTGATGTGAGATGAAAGCCCCCCACTGTTTGGCCACACCCCTTCATGGGCCAAAAGAGTGGCTCGGCACTGTCCGCAAGTGCGTCGCGTGTGCCACACAGGTTTCTCTTTGCTGCTGATTTGGTGTGTTGATGTTGCAGATACCACAGTCACTCTCGCAATAGTGGTGGACAAGTTGTCGCCTCGATTGGCTCAGCTCAGCGTTTTGAACAAAGTGTTCAGCACTGGAGTCGCCGAGGTTCCGCCGGGTACTCGGAATGTCGTGCGGGCGTCTCACCTGCTCAACACCCTGTACAAGGCCATTCTTGAGTATGACAACGTGGGAGAAGCCTCTGAGCAAACTGTACGTGGGACCCCGCAGTGGGCAGTTGTCCAGAGATTTAAAGTTGGCTTCAGAGTTGAGGGTGTGGGAAACCGGCTCTTTAGCTCGAGTTGCCAGGATACCCAGAGGGTGTGACAAGGACAGAGCAGGACGTGCAGCGTACCTGGCTGACTGCTAGGTGGGCATCTGTGGTAAGCCTCCTTTAACTTCAGAAAGCCCACGGGTCTCTGATAGGACACACAGGAATACCTTGGTTCACAAGTACTTCTGTTCACAAACATTTGGGTTCACAAACAAGCATTCAGCAGAATTCGCTTCCATTCACCTGCGTTGGGTGACGGATACAACGGTGGCTGTCTTCTCCTCACGAGCAGGGACTGGCCAGCTTCCCCAGAATCACAGCGCAGATTACCTTTGTGAGTGAGGGCTCCATACCTAGGGGAGCCGCAGAAATGGATGGAATGGAGGCTGCTGGGCAGGAGAACGGGGAGTCGCCTGGCGGGGTGGGGGTAGAGTTTCAGGGTTGCTCGTGAGGGAGCACCCGAGATCTGGTTCACTGCGATACAGTAAATGTTCAGTACCACTGAGCGTACTGTTATAATGCTTAAGGTGCTGAATTTCATGGTAAGTATTTTTTAAGTACAGATTAACTGGAGACTGTGATCTAGTCTAGTGTACATTTTAGATGTCTTTCCATGAGCTGACTTGACTTGCTGTTTCTGACTATCTTAGTGTTGCATTCAGGGAGGCAGAGATTGGCTCCGCCCAGCTATGCAGGCTCCCCGCATCGGGAGCGAGCCACAGGAGGAGGGATCACTTCCTCATTCTCTCCTGTGTTTCTTCTTGTTGTTTGCTGAGACAGGGTGTCTCTGCAGTTCAGGCTGACTTTGAATTCATGTTGTAGCCCAGGCTGGCCTGGGATTTGTGGAGATCCTCCTACCTCAACTCCTGTGTGCTGGCATTACAGGCGTGTGCCATCACGCCAGGGCCCTCATTCTTAGCGGGTGTTTTACCTCCTGTTGTACACTAGGTAGAGGGCAGCCACCTCCAGGCTGTGCCTGTCGTCACTGAAGGAGGGTCCTAGCATGAAGGCAGACGACATAACCATCCCATGTGTAAACGTTTCATGAGGGTTTTACAGTGTATAATTGGGATTTTAACTTCTTAGTTTGTTTTAGAAAGAAGTAGAAATCCAGTCACCTTTTAAGGCAATTGGAAATGCTTAGACCTGGTCTCAGACTGGTCTAAGCTCTGAACGCGTGCTGACACCCGACCCCGCGCTGTCCCCAGGTCTCGCTCCTCTTCTCCCTCTGGGTGGAGACGGTCCGGCCCTACCTGCAGACCGTGGACGAGTGGATCGCGCACGGGCATCTCTGGGACAGCGCCAAGGAGTTCATCATACAGAGGTGCGGCTCGGCCGGGGTGCAGAGGGTGCTGGGCCTGGCTTCACTGAGCGTTGCCGCCCTAGCAAGGATGTGTTCTGTTGCTCCTGTGTAGAGAAGGCGAGGTACCAGGCGGTGAGAAGTGTGTGAGCCAGGCATGGTGGCGCACACCTGTAGTCCCAGTGTTCTGAGAGGATGCAGCAGGAGGATCACAAGTTTGAATAATACAAGTTTTAAAAGAACTGGAACTAGCCAGCACCAGGGAGGCCAAGGCAGGGGTACCATGAGTTGGAGGCCAGCTTCGGCTACATCACAAGTTCAAGGCCAGTCTGAACTATACAGCGGGACCCTGTCTCAGAAAGGTGGGGTGAGGGCACTGGGAATCTAACCCATTCCCAGGCCTGGGGGGAAATGCAGTTACCGGTTCACAGCGTCCCACAGCACAGACCTTCCTCCCCGAGGCCTTGTGCGTCCTGGGTGAGCACTCAGCTGGCCCACACCTGTTTGCTTTGTCTTCTGTTGTTCGGGGGGTGGTTGGCCTGGGTTTGGTGTAATCAGCCCATTGAGCCGTGTTTCTGCTGAGGAGCGCAGTATGCACTGACCGTGTAAGGAAGAGTGCAGAGCCTAGAGAGGCGACAGTACTTGCACACTGGGCACAGTGTAGACCGGCCTTCCGCCAGCTGAACCTTTGGTTTTTTCCCAAGTACGAGGAATCACACCCTGGCCTGCACACTCAGCTCCATCCCCATCTCACTGCCTGATTAGCTTGTTTATTTATTCATTTATGGTACAGGACGTTGCTAAATGGTCCTTGCTGACTTTAAACTTACATTCGTCTGCCTCATCCTCCAGAGGGCCAGGATTACAGGTGTATGCCACACCTAGCTCGGATCAGCTTCTCTCTGCCACTGGGCCTGTCCCATGGCTCCCACTGTGGGTTTTGGAAGGACACAGGATTCTGACTGTCGGTCTAAGCAGAGGTCTGTCCATGGCTTCCCTGTTGAAAGGGGGCAGGTGGGAACCCGAGAGGGCTCCCTGAGAGAGCTCATGCCAAGCACGCATAGCCAGTTCAGTCTCGGGACCAAAGGCAGGAAGGCAGGGAAGTCAGACTCGCTCTCACAGCAGACAGTGAAGTGAGAAACCTCTGTTCCAAGTTAGTCACCTTTTAATTCCAATTTAGGAAGCTGAAGTGTGGCCCATGGTACTCAAAGTGTTTGTCTGCTGCTGTCTATTAAGTGGAGGTCAGTAAAGATGGCGTCATTGTACAAACAGTTGATTGTGTAAGTTTTTGGGTTATGTGGACAGTATTCCTAAGTGAGGACGGAATGTGCTGTATTTATAGTGAAGATAAGTTAAAAGTTTTAAATTCTTCTGAAAGTCACCATATTGTATAGGGGTACACGCACACGTATGTTTATAACAGCACAGTTTGTAATAGCTGGCTCTTGGAAACATTTTGTCCATCAAGAGATCAGTGGGAGGTTGGGCATTTGGCTCAGCGACATAAGCGCCTACCTGGCAAACGAGGTCATGAGTTCGACCCCCAGGCCCCCAAAAAAGAGGGGGGAGAGAGAGAGCAAAGGGTAAGGAAAATGAAGTACTTATATATACTGGAATATTATACTGCCATAAAGAAAGAAATGAGGCGTTTATAGATAAATAGATACAGCTTGAGAACATGATTTCTATGAGAAACACAATACACACACAAATTAGGAGCAAAACAGAAAAGAGATACAAAGAGACCCAAAATACATATTCCCTTGTTTTAAAAATATTTCAGTATGTATACTAATTTGTTTTACTTATACTAAAAGTTTTATCTTAAAGTTCCCATTATTGCCTATTTCCTTTGTGTGAGGCTCTTTGCCATGTGTGTCTTGTGGAGAGTAGCTCCGGTACCTTGAAGGTGACACACAGGGTGATAATTGTTGTCCTCTTATTACAGTAAAACCTTGGCTCACTGACACTTCTGTTTGCAAACCGTTCAGTTCTCAAACAAAGGCGTCCGACAGAATTTTGCTCCGCTGGAGAAACTCTTCCCGGGTGGCGCACACCGCTGCGGCTAGGGCCCTGCTGCGTTTGGAGGTGAGCATGTTCCTGGCTTCCTGGAGAGAAACAGTTCCCTGACTCCCCACAGGAATAAAAACGTCCCGGTGAACCACAGAGACTTCTGGTACGCGACCTACACGCTGTACAGCGTGTCCGAGCGGACTGAGAGCGAGGAGAGGCTGAGCGACAGCACCAGCGCCAGCTCGGGCAGCGAGCAGGCCTTGGGCGGCGGCAGGCAACACACCATGGTGTCCTTCCTCAAGCCCGTGCTCAAGCAGATCATCATGGCCGGCAAGTCCATGCAGCTGCTGCAGAACTTGCGCTGCGCCCGCCGCGCCGGGAGCCCCGGGGCCGCCCCAGGTAGGCCGCCCCGCCTGGCCTGGCCGCGCGTCCTCCTCCAGAGCCTCCAGGGCCTTTTGATACAGTACAGATGGTCGCGGTGAATGAGTGGATGGTCATCCAGCCCCACTTTGTGCGGAAAGGCAGTGAAAGAAGCCAAAACCTGTGCATCCTCCTTTTCCGTTCGTTTTGTTTTGTTTTGTTTTGGCCAGGATCTCCCTATGGAGGTCCAGCTGGCTTTGAGCTCACTATTTAGCCCAGGCTGGTCGTGAATTTGAGTTGGTCCTCCTCCCTCTGCCTCCCAAGGGCTGGGATAAGAGGTGTGCTGTCACACCTGGCTAATGTCCATCTGTTTTACCCTGGATCCCTCAGGCAGAGTTCACTGGCTTGCTCTTTTTTTAAAAAAAAAAAAAAAACAGTTTCACTGCATGGTTCAGCTGGCCTCAAACTCATGGTGTCACCTAGGCTGACCTCAAACTCACAGCAACCCTCCTGCCTCAGCATCCTGAGTGCAGGGATTATGGGGTGTGATCTGCCATTTCCTAGCAGCACAGCACCTAGGGATTTGCTGATGAACACATCAAACTTGATCATAGCTTATAAGAAAACTCGATATAATTTTCTTTTTTGATGCAGTTTATTTAAATGTTTATCAGCTGGCTAAAAAGGCTTTAAAGATACACACGTAACCTTATTTGGCTTATAAGTCACCTCTGTTAAATTAATAACTTCACATTGTTGTATCTACTTTAAATAATACTTTACCTTTGGAATATTTCCTTTCTGATTGGATAGTAAGCTCTAATGAGCATTCCAGGCCAGTGTTAGCTATGTTTTGTCCAATGAGAGTTGACTCCTGTATGTCTTACCATGGCTTTATGCACTGTGGTAGTAACTTCCCTTTAGCTGTCCTACTTTAGGGATCACCCCATTCCAAGTAAAATCAGCACATATGTTGTGACCTGTAACTATGAACTTCGTAGTTTAACGGCAAATATAAAATTTTTAGTTTTGCTACACTGAAAAGGTAAAAGAAACAGGGACAGTCTTCCTAGACCAAACAAATACCGGGCTCATTCATTCAGATCAAATGACTCGGTACGCATTTCCTCGTGTTCCAGATGCAGAAAGAAAAAGCCTGTACACCCTCTTTCTGGAGTCAGTCCAGTCACGCCTGCGATGTGGGGAAGATTCTACTCCACAGGTCCTCTCTGACCAGCAGGCGACCAGGGAGAGCCTGATCAAGATGCAGACCATCGCAGAGCGGCATCTGGAACTGGACGACGTTCATGACCCCCTGCTGGCCATTAACTTTGCAAGGTGATACACACCTGCAAGGCTCTCAGTGGCTGAAGGGTCGGCATCCGTACAATATTTAGTCTCTTATTTATTTGTGCCGGATAGGGCATTCCAGCCTTAAGAACCTAAGTCTTGTAGCCTGTCCTTTCTGAGGACCAGAGAGACACCGTGTTCACCCAGTAGATACACAGTTTGGCTTCCTCTCTATGTGAATGTGCACAGACCTCACCATGAAAACTTGTCTGTGTGCCCCCAGGCCCCTGGGAGTGTGTGGGTCACCCAGGAATATGCTTGCAAAATCCTGGGCGTTTGTCAGACATAAGCTGTGGGGTGTGGGGCACTACTGACCACGTGCTGCCATATTGTCTGATGGCTGGCGCTTGCTGTGTGCATGCCTCTGAAACAGTACTCTGGAGCCAGGGACCTAGCTCAGCGGTGTAAGTGCCTGCCTGGCAAGCATGAGGTCATGAGTTCAATCCTGGGGGGTGAGCGGGGGATACGCTGGAAAGGAAGGTTCCTTCTTTGCAATAATTGGTAGTAAAAATGGGACTTGGGGGTTAAAAGAATTCTGTTGACAATTCATAGAATAGATGGCTTACATTTTTGTCTTGAAGATTGTATTTGGAGCAAAGTGACTTTCATGAGAAGTTTGCTGGTGGCGACATATGTATGGATAGATCATCAGAATCTGTGACATGCCAGACTTTTGAGCTAACGCTGAGGTCTTGCCTCTATCCACATATTGAGAAGCAGTATCTAGACTGCTGTGGAAATCTCATGCAAACCCTAAAAAGAGATTACAGGTAAGAAGGAGTAACTTCATGTTGGAAGTAATCTCTAAGTAAGTGTACTTTAAGAACAACTGGTTAGGGCCAAGGATTTAGCTCAGTGGCATAAGCATCTATCTGGTGAGCACAAGGTTGTGAGTGAACAGTTGGTTGGTCTCTTACGGGTTTTGTTGTTTGTTTTGATCCTGGAAGTGGAACCCACTGCCTTACATAAAATTCCTTTAAAACATGTACCTTTTGGGGGAGGAGGAGGTGGGTTTTTTGGTTAACTAGGGTCTTGTTATGTAGTCTAGGCTGGCCTGAAACTAAAGTTTGTATTTAAGTTAGCTTTTTAGTAAGGTAGGTGTACTAGCCTGTGTCCCACTGCTGGGACAAAATACCTGATCGCTGTGTCTGTCGGGAAGAGCAGTTTGCCTTGTGGCCCTTAGTCAGCTTGCTCCGGGACAACTGGCCTGGCAGAAGGGGGCAGCAGCAGAAAGCTGCTTGCGACATGATGGTGTCGCCAGGAGGCCGCGTGACGAGTGGCCGGGGTCGGGAATGCACCCTTCTGGGTCCTGCTCCCGTGACCCCCAAAGCAGGTCGTGCCTCCTCACGGCACAGTGAGCGCTGAGCACCTCGGGGTACGAGCGTGTGAACCCCCTGTGATTCCAAACCTTGAGGTGTTGGGGACCTGTTAGCTCGGAGCCCTAACACAGGGAATGGGTGCGTAGTAAACAGCCTTCTTCTGAGAGGCTGTTAGCCATCGCTACTTTCCTTAACTGTGCTGTGAAATCTGAGTCTTTATTTCTAAAGCTATCTCAAAAGATGGGGCTGGGGATTTAGCTCAGCGGCGTAAGTGCCTGCCTTGCAAGTGTGCGGTCGTGAGTTCGATCCCCGGTACCAATTAAAAAAAAAAAATGAATATCTGTAGAAAGTTTAATTTCAGAATGGCAAACATAAAATTACTTCATAATGGATGACAAGTTCTTTAAAGTGTGCTGTGTCTGTATCCACGTGTGAATTTTGTGAAGTTCATAGAAATAGGTGGACACAGAGTTTTAAATAATGTAAACTGTTCTTATAGCTAAAAAGTAATGGATATAATACAGTGGAAACTGAAAATTCATTAAATGCTTAGAGACAAAGACTGAACTAAGTATTCCCAAATGTGTAAATCCCCGTGGGCAGTAGAACACAGATAGGTGTTGGTTTGATTTATTCTGTGACTTTGCCCAGTTTTCTGTACTGTTACGGTGAGATGACGCTGCTTTCTGGTTATGAAGCTGTTACTGTTGGGGGAGGAAAGTCTCGCCAGGCGTCACTGTTTCTAACACAGACGTGTGCGGTGCGGGCCTGTCAGTGCGCTCTGCCCACGCAGGTTGGTGGAGTACTTGCAGGCCATGAGGAATTTCTTCCTCATGGAAGGCGGGGACACCATGTATGACTTCTACACATCAATTTTTGACAAGATAAGAGAAAAGGAACCCTGGCAGAATGTGTCTTTTCTCAACGTCCAGCTCCAAGAGGCCGTCGGACAGCGTTACCCTGAAGATGGTTCACGGTAAGGTACAGGAGCACCTTTATTTTAAGTAATCTAAGTAAATCGTGTGGCAGGAGGTCCTCTGTGAGTATTTTATCCTCTCATTATCGCTATTTTATCTTTTACTAATTATTTTACAAATAAGAAAAACTTGGGCATGGTAGTAGGCATGCCCACCCTCCCACCTACACGAGAGGCTGAGGCAGGAGAATTGCATGAGCTCAGGAGTTTGAAGCCCTCCTGGACAATATAACAAGACCTGTGTCTATCTCAGAATGGAGATGGGGGAGGAGAGTAAGCAAAGGGTAAATCGAGGTGGGAAGGAGCTCAGTGACTCACCCGCTAAATGAAAGAGGGTGGTCAGGCGGCACTGTCCAGCTCTCCGGACCGTCCAAGTCCTGGCCTCGCTCCTCCTGCACAGGTGACCTGCCCGCAGTGTGGCCTCCTCTGGTTCCAGCTGCCTGCTGGGCTGCTCGGTCCAGGCCCAGCCCATTCCTGATGAACTTCCTACCGTTGCTAAGAATTTTTTTCATAGCTCATTAAGCTCATTATTTAAAAACTTGGCGCCTCTTCCTGGTCTCCTTTCTCTTGTGTATGTGTATGTGTCTTGTTTTTTTGAGACAGGGTTTCGCCATGTAGTTGAGGCACTGTGTAGGCCAAGCTGGCCTCAGATTCGCTGGGGTCCTCCTGCTTCAGCCTCCAGAGTGCTAGGAGTGCAGGCATATGCCGCCCCCTCCAGCCCTCTTCCCTCTTCTGGAGTACGTGCTGTAAAATATGTTGGTGGGCATGTCTGCATTTCATGAAGTACAGTGTATTTAAGAATTTTGTGTGGACATAGCACTGTCCCAAGCTAAAACTGCATGTCTTTGTTTAGGTTATCCATATCTTTTGAAAATGTCGACACGGCTAAGAAGAAACTGCCTGTTCATGTCTTAGATGGCCTGACCCTGAGCTACAAGGTAAATGGTCCTGTTCCTTTTACAGACACTAAAAGGTGCATGGAGTCAGGGATTTTCTGTTCCAATTTTGTTTTTGTTTTCATAGGTGCCCTGGCCTGTGGACATTGTTATAAGTTTGGAATGTCAAAAAATTTATAACCAAGTGTTCCTTCTCCTTTTGCAAATAAAATGGGCAAAATACAGTCTGGATGTCTTACTCTTTGGTGGTAAGATCTCTTTTCAACAGATAAATTATATGTAAATTTAGCCTGAAAAGCATTTTGTGAGGGTGAACAGATAGCAGATACGTGTTTACGGCAGCACTTGTGCAGACCTCAGCTCTCTGAAGTCGCAGGGAACTATAGGAACAGTCAGTCTGAAGCACAAAAATGTACTGGCAGGTCAGCCCCGACAGCTGTTCTTAACTGACAGAAAAAAGCTTAAGGGGCAGCTGCTGGGACCTGGCTGTGTCTCGTGCAGTGAGGACGCCGTGACTGGGCACCGTGGACCCTCCTCCAGAGCAGCTGTCAGGGCTCCCCATGCCGCCGCCTCCGCCTCCACCTCCACCCCCACCTCGCCTTGCGTTCCCTCTGCACTGGGGCGGTGGGTTGAATGCGTGCTCTTTCTGTCTTTTGCAGAACTGGCTAACACGGCTGAAAAAGCCGAGCCTAAAAGAGGCCTTGTGTGTGAACAGGACCTGAGTGCTCAGCTCGGATCCCAGAAGGCCCCAGCCAGACAGCAGATCCATCGCATGTTCCTCCTCCGCGTGAAGCTCATGCACTTCGTGAACAGTTTGCACAACTACATCATGACGCGGGTTGGTGTCACTATGTAGGCAGCACTTGTGGAGAATGATTCGCTGTGTTTACAGCTCGGCATGGTGGTGCACGCGATAGTCCTGGCACTTGGGAGGCAGAGGCAGGTTGATTGCTTTAAGTTTGAGGCCAGCCTGTACCACGTAGCAAGACCCTGTCTCAAAAAAGTTAAAATACACACATACATATATATATATATATATATATATATTTGCAGGTAAAAAAGGAGCCGTAGCACCCTACCCTCAGATGGCTGTCCCTAACCCTAAATTCACCTGAGTTATTTGTGTTACTAAAAGGACAGCTGGGAGTGGTGGTGCCCACCTGTAATCCCAGCCCTTGAGAGGCTGAGGAGGATAATGGCATGAGTTCAAGGCCATCCTGCACCATATAATGAGACTCTGCCTCAAAAAATAAATAAATACAATGAGAGCCAGGCCTGGGGCCGGTGCAGGCCGAATCCAGCATGCAGGAGGCTGAGGCACTGTGAGTTCAAGGCCAGCCTGGGCTTACACAGTGAACTGAAAGCCAGCCTGAACTGCACAATGAGACCCTGTCTTGAAACAAAAGGAAACGATAGTGGTCATTACAGCAAATCAGCCTGGTGATTGTTGTAGCTCTGTGCGCTTCCTGTGCAGTTTGGTGAACTTGTGCCTTCCTGCCAAGAAGCCTGCTGCTCCAGACCTAGGCATGGCCTTCGTGTGCACGTGGCCGTCCCGAGGACCGGCCCTTCGAGGCCGTGGAGCCAGAACCAGGACCCCCAGCCGCCTGGAGAGCAGGGTTTGCCTACCACAGGAAGCACTGGAGGGGAGCAGCACAGGCCATGGAAGCTGAGTGCATCGCACAGACCCCACAGAAAACGTGTTCTCAGTAGGCTTTGTGTCTCTGTCTTCAAGATTCTCCACAGTACTGGGCTAGAGTTTCAGCATCAAGTGGAGGAAGCCAAGGACTTGGATCAGTTGATTAAAATTCACTATCGGTACTTGTCCACCATTCACGACCGATGTCTGCTGAGGGAAAAGGTACATAGTGTCACCATGTCTCCAGCGGGCCGGGGAGCAGGGTACGTGGGAGCATCTGCCCTGTGACCATGTGTCACTGCCCTGCGGGCTTCTCTCGCGAAGGCCAGGCCTGTGAGGCTGCGTGTGTGCGCCTGACCGCCAGCCATGCTGCTGCTGTGGCGCTCAGTGCACCCCACTGGTCAGTTAGCGAGCGGTGTCTGCCTCACAGATTCTAGATGTCCAACCCAGCATGGCTGCACGGGACTGAGCAGTGTTACAGCTGCTCAGAGCTGCTTGTCCCTGCTGTCCTGGTGACCCTGTGTCCTGCCGGTCCTCCATGTTCTGGGCACCGCTGGTCACACTTGGAGGGCAGTCTGCGCCCTGCTGAGCGTTTTCTGTGTGACATAGCTGCACTGGGGAAGGGCGTGGTCTCTGCCCAGCACAGTTTCAGGGCCGTGTTCTGCCACAACTCTGCTTCCAGGTCAGCTTTGTGAAGGAAGCCATCATGAAGGTGTTGAACCTGGCCCTCATGTTTGCAGAAGGATGGCAGGCAGGCCTGGGCACTTGGCAGTGAGTATTTCCCTGGTAATCTCCAAGATGCTGACCATGTCCACTTCTCCTTTTACCTGGCTTTTTTTTCTTTTTAGAGAGAGTTTTGCTGCACAGTTCAGGATGCTCTTGAACTCACTTTGTAGCCCAGGCTGGCCTCAAACTCACAGAGATCCTCCTGTCTCAGCCTCCCCGTGCTGGGGCTCCAGGTGTGCGCCACCACACCCAGCTGCATTTTTTTTTTTTTTTTTTTTTTTTTTTTTTTGGTCTTCTTCCTTTTTATCAGTACCAGGGATCGAACTCACGACTGGCTGCTTGCAAGGCAGGCGCTTATGCCGCTGAGCTAAATCCCCAGCCCCTGCATTTCTTTTAAGAGAGGTGGAATAGTAAGAAGAATGCAAAGCCTGTTAATTAGGACAAGATTTTATTACTATTTCTGTATATTTTTATTACAGACATATTCACACACACACACGCACAAGTAGAACAGAACACCCAGCGTGTGCGCCCTGCTTCAGGAGTCCCCGTGACGACGCGCCCTGTGTCCTGTCTCCCCCGCTCGCGCTGGTGTCCTTCACACCTGAACCAGGGCTGCTCTCCGAAGGGCTGAGATGGCCCAGATCACACTGCCGGGAGAGAAACTAAAGTCTTCCTGTACCACTGCAGGCCCCCAGTGCGGAACCCCTTCCTCTCTTCCCGTCACCACGGAGGGGAAGAGAAACTGCTGCTGAATGTGCTCTGCGGAGCTCGCGCTGGTTCGGTTTCCTCCCCAGCTGCCGGGGCGGGTGGGCGCCCACTGGTCCCGGGCCCACGTGAAGCAGGACAGGGAATGAGCAGCAGAGTGCAGTTCGCTGGGCACCTGCTGACCACGGTCCTCTGTATGGAACAGTGGTGACACATTTCCAGGCAGGGTGGAACGGCTGATTTCACAAGTGTGTTTACTTACAGTGTGTGTTTGTGACTAAAACTCTCTGACGTCTCAGACTTCTCCTGAACACTGTGAGGGCTGACAGGTGTCAGCAGCCTGGCTGGCGAGGGGCCCTGCCGAAGGGAGGGCGGCCCTGCTGTCATTCTGTCTGTGTGGGCTGGACCTTCCCCTTCAGTACACGTCCAGCACTGTGACGGGAGGGTTCTGGGTTTAAGCCCAGCCTAAGAACTTAGCAAGAATAAATACCAAAAGGAATGGGGTAAAGCTCAGTGCAGAAGCCTTGAGTTCAATCCCCAGTGCCACCAAAATAAAAATTAAAAATAAAAACACACTTCTCATCCAAACTGCTTGGAAGGCTGAGACAGGAGGATTGCAAGTTTGAGGCTAGCCTGGACAATTTAGCCTCTATCTAAAAGTTTAAAAAGTTTTAAAGGGCCAGGAGTGTAGAGTCTCTGGGATTTAATGTTTAGTGCTGCAAAAAAAATTTTTTTTTAATTTTATAATTGTAAATTTAAAAATTTCATGTCCTTAATGTAAAGTTCTTTATTTCATAGAATATATGCTTGTAAGAAATAAAAATACAGAGCTGTATGAAGGAAAACAGAATAGATCCAGAAGTAAACACTGTCTGAAAAAAACATAGTTTTCTATCGGACTGAACCTTTTATCATAAAATAAAGCAGGATATTTTATATTTATGTTTTTATAATCTTCAGATTTAGAATTTTAAATGATTATAAAGTATATACTTTATATATTTGAAATTACTCCAAGGCTGTTGTATAGCTAACCTATTAGACTCTGTGCACTTGTATAATCTGAAATTTACTTTCTTTCCTAGAATGGAGTCTATAGAGAAAATGGAGTCCGATTTTAAGAATTGCCACATGTTTCTTGTAACTATTTTAAACAAAGCTGTCTGCAGAGGATCTTTTCCCCATTGTGAGTACACCACGTTTCAGTGTTGCTGCTTGTGGGCTTTCTTGTAGCTAACCCTGTAGTCTTCGCTAAGTCACTGTTTTACTTATCACATGAAAAATTTAAATTTCTCACCATTTTCCAACTGAAAAGCCTCTTAGCAGTTGTGCTAGTCTTTGTTTTCTCAGAACTGCTGGGAGGTAAATGATTACAAAACAGAAATCACTAGCACTAGAGGTCTTGCTCTCCGTGCTACCATTTGTTACTTCAGCGGCTTTGTAACCAGAAGGAACAGAACAGCTGGCAGAGTAGACTGGCCGCTGCCGCCACGCTGGCCTCTGGGACTCCCTTCCCTTCCCGAGGACAGCTCTGTGAAAGCCTGAAGCTGCCGCTTACCACTAGGCCGCGCAGCCACGCGTTCTTGGCCTGTGCGGGTGGAGAGCTCCCAGGGCCTTCGGAGCAGAGGGCGCGCTCGGGCTGTGCAAAGGAAGACTGCGCGATACCCCGCCCAGGCTTTTTTTTTTTTTAATTTTATTTTAAAGAGATTAAGACAAAAGAGGACAGAACAAAACTATGTAAGCAACACCATACTTCACCACAAGACAACCCAATATAACAGTAGCCACCATAATGTCTTTCTTTGAAATAGTTGAACATACCTTCACATACAATAGTATCAAACATAACAAAATAGTATAAAACCATTCAAGAGAATGAATGACAGTGTTACAGGGCATTCAGAACCAAATAACAGAAAACAACAATATCTCTTTTCCATAAAAAATTTGTTTATACTTTCACATATTAAAATCCAATAAGATACAACATGATAGAACCAATGGAAACAGAAGAACAAAAGCATGGTAGGACTTCAAAGCAAGATGATATTAAATCCGCACTGGCGCCCATAATGTCTTGTTTTCTTCAAAATCGCTGTTCATATCATCACACATAATAAATCAAACAAACTGAATAAAACCATGCCAACCAATGAATGCACACATCGTAAGGCTTCAGAGCAATGTAATGGGGAATCATGATAACCATAAACTCTTACGTATTCTTACCATTTCTTTTTTTTTTTTTTTTTTTGGATTTTTACGAGTACCAGGGATCGAACTCATAACCACAAGCTTGCAAGGCAGGTGCTTATGCCGCTGAGCTAAATCCCCAGCCCCTCTCACCATTTCTTACACTAGGGAGAGTATCTGATATTTATATATGTGAGTTTGATTTATTTCGCTTATGAGTGTGGTCTCAAGTTTCATCCATTTATTTATAAATATCTCAAAAAAATACAGAATGTTTCATGAATTTGTATGTTGTCCTTGCACAGAGGCCATGCTAATCTTCTCTGTATCGTTCCAATTAGTATATGTGCTGCCAGAGCGAGCACTCTGCCCGGGCTTTTGGTGAAGAAGTACATGAGGTTGAAACTCCCCTTGTAGTTAGAGCCTGAAATGCCCCATGTTCCCACCACGTGAGAGGAGACCTTGAGACGGTCAGCAGTTTGTGCTGGGGCGGCCATGCGGGGGGACGCATTGTGCAGTGTAGGACTCACCTGCCTGAGTGCTGGGTCCAGAGGTTATGATTTTATGTGGAAATTCATTCAGGAAAATAGCTAGAATTTCTGTTTGCAAAATTAAAGCTGTGTGAAATAGAAATGAGTCATACTGACTTTTTCTGTTTATATTTAGCAAAGTAGACAGTCATCTTTATGATACATTTAAAAAGCACCTGTAGTTAACACATGTTTAAACACATGTTTAAAAACTTGCGAGTGTCACCGGGTGTGGTGGCACACCCCTGCAATCCCAGCACTCTGGAAGCTGAGGCAGGAGGGCTGCCCTGTGTTCCAGGCCAGCCTGAACTGCATAGCAAGACCCTGTCTCAAAAAAAAATCACATACATACTTTCAGTTTTGAATTTGCTATAGCCATATGCACACATTTTAATACCCATAAGCCTATTTTTTTAACCTTTATTTCTTTTCTTCCCACAGTGGAATCTCTGGCTCTGTCACTGATGGCTGGCATGGAACAGAATTAAGTGTCTGCAGTGTACACACCTGAAATGCCACCCTCATGCACAGACATTTCTAGCACACGTAGCTGAGAAGGAGATGGCTTTTATTTTGGTTCATCTTCAGAGACAGTAGCTGGGTGTGGTGACTCAGGCCTGTGATTCTAGCACTTAGCCGCCTGAGGCAGGAGGGTCATCACGAGTGGGAGGCCAGCCTGGGTGACAGTGAGCAGAGCAGACCAGAGCTGCACAGGGAAACCATGTCTCAAGTTTCTGTTTCCTCTGGAAAGAGGTGTGTAAATAAGATTGTGTACATAATGCCAGTGTATAAAGGCTGTTTACTCTTGCATTTTCTGTTGTAAGCTATAGATTTATAACATTGGTACCTTTAAAAATTATATACCTTTTAAGAATATAATTATCAATATTAAATGTAAGTTAATACTTTTTTGTTTTGTTTTGTTTTTTTGAGACAGGGTCTCACTTTGTAATGTCACATTACTGTGTAATGTTACTGGCCTTGGATGCACTATGTAGCCCAGGCTGGCCTCAGGCTCACAGTGATCCTCCTGCCTCAGCCTCCCAAATGCTGGGATAACAGGTGTGGCCTCCAGGACTAGCAAGTTAATGCTCTTAAAATTCTTTTTATTCTTCTGTTTCTGCTGCACCTTGATCACAGGACTTTTTTTTATGTAGAGTTTTGTACTTCATCTTCCCTAAAAGTTGTTTCAGATTTGACCTGGAAGTGTTTATATTTTTATGTCAGGGGACATTCCCAAAATGGAAAATACCACACCGTGCAATGTATATAGCCAAGTATGCTCAGTGCAAAGTACTATTGTTCAGCATTTCTGAGAAACTTCTGTGAGCTAACCAGTTATGTCTCATAATAAATTATGTTTACCATTCAGTTTTTCGACCTTTTCTTTGTGTATTTTTGGTGTGCAGTTGTTGGTGGACACCACTGCAAGAACAGGTGAGTACTGTAAGTGGGGATGTGCTGCCCACTTCCTGAAACAGCCCCAAGTCCCTGTCCCTGGTCATCTTCAGTTGCACCTTTGCATTAGCTACTTTCCTGTCACAAACAAAAGCTGCTACACAGCTTCAAGGAGGGGGATTTGTTTGCCTCACAGCTTTACTCGGGGCTGGCTGGCTCCAGCAGAAAGGGTGGGCAGGGGGCCTGGCGGGGGAGACGGTGTTCCACACGTGACCGCACGCACAGAAGGAGGGGCAGCTGCCAGGCCAAGAGCTCACCCCTCCGGCCGTGGCCTGTGCCCCCCTCACCACACGGTCCCTTCCTGTACCCTGTCAGCTGTACCCTTCTGGCTCTGGCCCCCAAAAGCCGCCTGCCAACCTCATATAAAATGTATTTAGTACGTCTCTAGGGTCAGCAGAGTGCTAACAGCTCACGCATTGCTGAAGTCTCCTAGAATCAAGGCAGTTACAGTTGTGAGCCCCTCTGTAAACATATACTGTCACAGAGTTAACATTTCAATTCCAAATAGAAATGAATGGGACCAAAGCAAGACAGAAACCCACCTGGGTAGACCCGAAACCCTCAGCTCCATAACCAACACCTGGGGCAAGTCTGAGACGCGGATGCCGAAGGGCTGGGTGGCCACTGCACAGCACTGCCAGCTGCAGCTTCCGTGGCCTCTCTGCCCACTTAGCTCCAGCACTGCCTGCTCAGGGGCGGACTGCCTGGCCTCCCAGGCCTTCTGAACAGTGAATGGAAGCTCCCACAGCTCCCTAACTTGTAAAACCAGGACCATGTCGATGACACCAAGGTCAGCGGTACCTTGAACACTAGACAGACTCCCTTGGGTCATGGCTGCAGAGGCCTGAGTGTCTGGATAGCTGTGTGCTGTGAATAAAATCCCAGGGAGCAAATTCCCTCGCAGCTCTTCCCTAGCAGCTTTGTAGTTTCATACCCTTGTGTCTTGCAAATGTGGGATCCTACTGATTCCTGCCTGAGATGTCTTCAAAGTCTTTCCTGTTGTCCTGATGCAAAGTCCTTGGCTTCTTTTTAATGATATTTTCCACCGTGCTGTACGTGGCTCCAACTTTGCAGACACTTCCTTTCTGATGAAACTACAGACTTCTCACCTCTGCCTTTTGCTTCTGGTTTCAGTGGAGATCCACTGGTGGGCGGGAAGAGCACGGGCATGAAGAAGCGATCACCAGAGAACAAAGGCAGGCAGCCGCTCGGGCCCTTCTGTGTCTCAGTCAGAAGCTTGCTTTCTCCCAGTAAATACATTCTTGCCCTTAACCTCTGTTGTTTCTAAAATTCATTCTTCAATTTTAGAGCATAAATTCGTACCAGAGATGGGGAGTTCTGTTCCTGTAGGTCTCCCACCGAGATCACTGGATGAAGGTGAGGGTTCGTTTCATAGACTCTGGACTGAAACTTGTTTAGGTAACAGATCTTTAATGCTTCAGATTTTGCTGCCAAAGTTTCTGTCCCCCTCATGCCCACCTTGCAAGTTCCCATGTTTCCCCGACCCCAGTCCTGCCTCACTTGGCGGTTTTACCCCAGAAAAGTCAGTCTTCAGCAAGCCACTTGGGACCCCTTCTGTCTCTCTCAGAAGCTTTTTCTCTCAGTAAATATATTCTGCTCTTAAAAAAAGAGAGAGTTGGGGCTGGGGATTTAGCTCAGCGGCATAAGCACCTGCCTTGCAAGCAGGCAGTCGTGAGTTCGATCCCCGGTACCGATAAAAAGACAAAAGAGAGAGTTACAGGGGCTGGGCTCACTCTGTATAGAGCTCAGAGGTCTCCGAGCAATACCTTAACCTCCTCCAAAGGGCCCCCAGCAAGTGACCCCAGAGAACACTTGACCACATCCAAACCACAGCAGCCCACTGGTGTTTAGGGAAATGCTTTTAAATTTCCATGTATGAGTGAGGTTCTCAAACGTCTGTCCCTGATTTCAGATTTCATTCATTTTGACCAAAGAGTGTACTCTGTATGACTTAATTTGTGTGTGTGTGTGTGTTTGTTTTATTGGGTACCAGGAATCAAACTCACGACCTAGCACTTGCCAGGCAGGCAGTTGTGCTGTTGAGCTAAATCCCCGGCCCCTTGTGTGTATGTAAGATGGGGTCTCTCTATGCAGTTCAGGCTGGCCTCAAGCTCACTTTGTAGCCAGGCTACTCTGAAACTTCACAACAATCCCTGCCTCAGCCTCCCAGGCGAGGAGATTACAGGTGTGTGCCACCATACCTGGCAATTTAAATATTTTTAGAATGTCAGTGAAATGGCATATGGTCTGTTTTAGAGGATCTTCTGTTGTACATGAGAAAATACGTGTTTTCCTGTTGTTGACTAGTATAGATTTCTTATAATCTAGTTGATTTAAGGAATTGTTCAGTCTTTGTCTAGTTTATACGTTGTTGACATTTTTTCTTAAGCCTCCAACTATCACTGCTGAATTGTCTGTTTAATCTCCTGTTCTGTAAGTTTTGTATAATGTATTTTAGAGCTCTGTGTTAGTTAGATACATGTTTATACTTGGTGTAGCTTACAGATGAGTTAATGACTTAATTATCACCACATATTCTGTCTCTAGTTTCCCCTAAAATTTTCCATCTCTAAGTCTGTTTTGTATAATAGTATCGCCACTTCTATTTTCCTTTACTTTCTCTTTCATGCTGTATTTTTTTATTTTTTCCCCTCCATCTTTCTAGGTTCAGCCTACTTGTATCACAGGATTTTGTTTTGTTTTTATCTTTGTTCTCCAGTACCAAGGACTGAACACAAGGCCTCATACATGCTTGCAAAAGTTCTACCCCTGAGCTACACCTCCAGCCCGTTTGTGGCTTCAAATGTAGAGTATCTACTGCGGGGTGTGGTGGTGGACACTTGTAATGTCAGCACTAGGGAGGCTGCGGCAGGAGGAGCGTGGGTGAGTCCAAGGCCAGCCACAGGAAGACCTCGTCTCAGAAGACAAAATAAAGGAAAATGGGTCTGGTGGGGGAGCAAGCAGTTGGAATTTCTTAATGTCTGCAAATCTGTAGGTGTCTGTGCTTTTCAGTTGTAAAGTTTGTTTATATTTACTATAAGAAATATGTATAATTACTGATAAGATAGGCTTTGTTTGCTACTCTTGTTTTCTGAAAGTCCTATTTATGTATCTTTGTGTCTGCCCTGCTGCATTTGTGTAAAAAACATGTTTTTTATTTCACTGATTCTTTTTCTGTGTATTTTGAGGAGGTTTTTAGTGCTTGTTAGGGATTACAGTTAGCATTATAACCTGTAACAATTTAGTTCAGATTGTTAATTTAATTTCTGTAGAATAAAAGAGTGTTACATATTTAGTGGATTTGGGGAGGTGTATGATCACACCCACCGTGACAGAATAGGGAGAATGTTTTCGTGGCCCTAAAATATTCCCTGTGCCTCACCTCCCTCCACCCAAGCCCTGGTGACTGTGATCTTCGCACGGTCCCTGTGCTTTGCCTAACTGAAGTCATTCGATTCTCAGTCACCAAACACCTGAGTGGGACAGCTGGGAGAGGAAAGGTTTATGTGGGCTCCCGGCTCCCGAGTGAGTTCCCAGGCGCCCACCCTGCTCTGGTTGCTCCGCCTTTGCTGAGGCAGAAGCCTCTTGGCAGGCAGCACATGCTGGTGGGAGGTGGGAGGGAAGGCCCAGGCCCAGGCCCAGGCCCAGGCCCGCCGCCAGTCCCCGTGGCTTTCCTGCCTGCCCCTGCCACCTCCTCAGGGCAGGGCCCAGGCCGGGGACCAGCCTCCTTCACACACGGGCCCTGTGCGAGTTCCCAGGCCTTGGCAGTCTGGGAGTCCTTTCAAATGGCCTTCTTTCAATGTGTAATGTGCACTTAAGATTCTTCCCTGGCTTTTTTTTTTTTTCTTTTTTGTTTTGTTTTGTTTTCCTTTGTTTTGAGACAGCATTCCTATGTGGTTCAGGCTGGCCTTGAACTACCTAGGTAGCCTGTGTTGGGCTCAAACTTGCAGTGACCCTCCTGCCTCAGCCTCCTGAGCACTGGAATTACTGGCTTGTACCACCACACTGGGCTTCTTTGTCTTTTCATGGCTTGCTAGTGCCCAACACTACTCCGTTATCAGGATACACTCTCAGGACTTGGCAGCTGTGCACAAAGCTGGTGTGAGTGTCCATGCACACGTGTCATGTGAACACAGTTCTGAGTACGAGGAACGCAGCTGCTACGTCATTGGGTCCATGTGTTTGGTTTGGGAGTGCAGTGCCTTGGGGAGTGCCTGACCTGAGTCAGGCCTGCAGGAAAAGGCTTCCAGCGGGCACCTGGGCACAGGTCCAGCCAAGAGGGAGGAGTTGGGGTACAGCAGTTGCCACAGAGATCGGCAGTGTCTTTTCCCGGAGCTTTTCACAGTAAGCACCTATTAATCACTAAGCAGAAAAGAGTTCAGAAGAAAATGCTGTAGCACCAGCAGATGAAGACACAGCCCCGCTGGCGGTGAGGCCCTGTGGTTCTGCCACACGGGACCTCAGTACATGCATGGGACGGAGCCAAAAGCACGCGCTGGACTAGAGACTCCAGGGAGAGGTGAACTTCTGCTGGCAATGTGGAAGTCAGTGGTCAGCGGGCATTGGCCACGTCCGCTCACGGCGGAGGCCTGAGCCTCTGTACCTGTCTTCTAGTTACCTCTCCAGCTCCAGCATGCACAGAATCCCCACACTAGTCCCTCACTAGGGAGCGGGGCCATTACCCTGAGGAAGACCAAGTGGAGGACACTGGCAGTGCCTCTGCATAGGAGAAGAGTATTAAAGCAATCATACCTTTCGGGGGCACTGCAGCTATGCTGCCATCACCCAGAACTTCAGAGATAAAGATGGGCGTCATGGCACATACCATGGGCACTTACCAAGATGGGTAATTCAGGCACTCAGGAGGCAGCAGCAGGATGATCGCCATGAAG